CGATATGGTTCATGGGGTCATGAAGAGTCGGACATGACTTAATGACTGAACAACAACAACATATTAATATTAATTAAAGCTATGAAAATAGAATGGTGAGAAATCTTTGGGCCATATTGGAATATAGATTGAGTTTTGATAACAAGACTAATGAATATTTAACTCTTTAGAAAGATCCTACTTTGAAAATTGGTGGAAAAACATTCTATTGGAAAGTTTAGGCAGAAGCTGGGATTTAAACCAGTTGTTATATAAAGACTGTTTTAAGGATTTTTCCTGACCTCAAATTGAATTTGGTCTTCCATCCGTTAAATTGAATATACCATCAAAATTAGTGGTATATTCAACTTAACATCATGTTGGTGTAGTGGTTAAGGCATCAGGCTAGAATCCGGGAGACTATGAATTCTAGTCCTGCCTTAGGCACAAAGCCAGCTGCGTGACCTTGAGCCAGTCACACCCTCTCAGCCCTAGGAAGGAGGCAGTGGCAAACCACTTCTGAAATCTTGCCAAGAAAACTGCAGGGACTGTCGAGTCAAAACTGACTCGAAGGCACACGTGCATGCGCACGCACACACACACACAAGGGCCAAATGGGCCTTGAGGCTCATCTCAATATTTCAAACATGGACAAAAGAACTGGAATCTCCAATAATGACCCATCAGTGGATTATCCTAAAAATGTTAAAATGGTATCAGTAGATCTGAGATTAAAGCTGATTCATCAAAAATTGTATTTAGGGTGTACTGGACTCTCCAGATAATGTATTTGAAAGGATGGACATCAGATTTTCTATGTTGGAGGTGTAAAAAATGACAATGGGAATGGTCATGTGATCATTTCATATCTTTTTGGCATAGCGTATTAATATATAAAAAGAGATTTATGGGAAAACCTTTAAATGTATATACCAATGCTTTGGAATTTGACTGTTTATCAGGAATTAAGGTTGTATCGAGCATGGGGGGTAAGAAATTAGAAAAGTGATGTTATTCCAGATATTCAGGAATGGTTGTTGGAACTATTTTGGAAAAAGCTATATTTTTTCTACTAATCAGAGAATACAGCAATATGTGTTCCTATGGCAGAGATTTTGTGATATTTTACAAAAATATTTTGTACTGATTATATTATAGGGGTGTATTAGTAAACCAGTGATTATTGATAAGCATAAATATAAAGTAGATTTTCTTTCTCTTTCTCTTTCTCTTTTTTTTCTTAGTTTGTATTTTTAGTTTGGGATCACTTCTTTTCTATTTTTTTTCCTTTAAGTTTAAAGACTGTTTTGTTAATACTATATGTTAAGAATGTTAAATAACTTTTTAAAAAAAAGTTATGAAAGTAGAAAGCCAGCAAGGATGTGGCAATGAGCCAGTATATTATACTGAGTGTTACATCAACCTGTAACTGTTAGGTTATGTCTAAATTGGCAAGGACTTCACTTGAAACCCATGTTGCAGACCTGGAGGTCTGAAAGAGGTAGAAAAGTATGTGGACAAAACCTTTGGGGATATAATCAGTTCTAGAGGTGACATATCATCTATAAACATGGGGACTGTCTTGTGGAAGGAGAGCATTACTTCGAGGAAAATGGAAATTATCCATTTGAAAGGACTTGTTTCTTGATTGGGTAACTGTCTTGTTATGTCAAAGGATCATACGAGTTGCTCCATATGAGCAACTTTAACTAGATTTGCATACCTGGTGCAAAAATAGCCAAGCAGATAGTGCTAAGGTAGCACAGGCAGTCCCCGGATTAAGAACGTCCAATTTACAGACAATTCATACTTACGAACAGGCTGCCTGTTACTAAAAATGGTGGGCGACATTCTCCTTCCTTGAGCTGATGAACTGCTGAAGCCGTCCGATGTTTTCGTGAACCGCTGAAGCCAGGCATTTTTAATATACAGACTGTTTTCATTTTTAGCAATAGATATCCCATTGGTAAGTACAAATTCCAACTTACATGCACATTCAAGTTGAAGACAGGCTTAGGAACAGAACTCTTTCTTAACTTAGGGACTGCCTGTATAGCTGTACATTCTGCATGCAAATCTAAATTTCCAGATATAAGGTTGAAATCTCTTAACAAGGTAGCTTTCTCAGAAATTCATACTCTACTTTGAAATGGGGCACACTGGGGTTTTGGTTTTGACTGGCTGTTAGCCAAAGCTTCTTTTTCAATGTATTAGGAAGGCCGTTTGAAGAGCCTGGTGGCAAAACTTGAGTTTTGTCAGTGACATCACTGACCGTTAGATGATGATAGCTATCTTCTGATTCATAAATGTGGTCAATATTACCATCCATGTGGGAAAGACAGAACTGTTCTGTCTTTTTAAAAGAACCATTAAAAAAAACTAGTCTTCCTTGCTTGCTCCCAGATTTCATTAACATGCAGAACTTTCTGATTTCAGTGAATCTGCTCTAAGCATAATTAAATCTGGATTTGGTGCAGCAATAATTAACTTTACTTATATTTACTGTTGTCAGGGAAAAAATCAATTGGATATTTCTTTGTACAAAGCAAATTAAAAACCCACATTCTTTTAATTCACAACAGGTTTTCAGTGATGTATACAAGTGCAGCAGTAGGTAATTTCACAGATTAAACTAAGAGTAGCCTCTCTGGCTTTAACGATGTGGTCCTTGCTGTGCAGGGCTACGGGATTTGTAATTACCTTTATTGCTTGATTGAATTTTTTTATGGATGCGTACATTCACCAAGAAAATTAGTTGGACAGCCTTATTTGCTAGCTGTACATACATCAGCTGCTGTTTTTAGAGTTGGGTATACCATGGAGGAAAAAAAATTATTTTTTAGACTGACAGGAAAATATTTAAGGCAAAATTGCTCCAAAATAAATGAATTATGCTGCTCTTGGAACTAAGGAGGAGAAATTCCTTCTCTCTAAACTTGGGAGACATGCTGAAAAATGCCACGTGAAAAGAGGAGGCAGGGTGTGCCATTGTTTTCAGTTTTGTTCCTGTCTTTCATCAGGAAATGACCTTCCATGAAGCTCTTTTTTTTTTTTTGAAGTTAGAATTTCCTATCTGTTCAGCCCTCTCTATTAAACAAACTCTTTTCAACTCCTTTCTTGCAATGGGTCTTTCTCTCAGGTAATAGCAGATTTTCTAAAGTGAGAGGGACAAAGTGTTTACCTCACAATGTTGCTTCAAGGCCCACTTTTCAAGAATGCCGAGTGACACTATACCCTCTCCCTGGAGTTCAAAATAAATGTATCTTGTATCTGCTCAAATGAGGCATGTTACTGTTTTATAATAACAAAATGAAATGGCCTGATCTTTCACCTCCCCCTCCCCTTTTTAAAAAATGTTGTCAGTAGAAGGACCACTTAATGTTAAAGTTAGGATATAAATGGTCTAAATAATTGAAAAAGTTCAAAGAACAATTTAGAATTCTCATGTTGT